GAACAATATGATATCCTACAACATGATAATAACTGGGGACTTTAACACCCCTCAGACAGAACTAGACAGCTAATAAAAAGGGAAACTAAACAAAGAAGGGATTTAAATGTAACCCTAGATCAATTGGGCATAATAGACATATACGGAACATACCACCCCAAAGCTAATGAGTATATATTCTCTTCATCAGCCTACAGATCATACTCTAAAATTAATCATATCCTAGGATACAGCCCTCCATAAAATTAAAGAATTTAAATTATACCTTGGATCTTTTTAGACTACAAAGGAATAAAGGTAGAACTCAATTCCAGCAAAAACCTTCACCCCCTATACAAAGTCTTGGAAACTAAACAACCTTATGCTGAACAATAGCAGGGTCAAGAAAGAAATAAAGAAGGAAATCATTAGATACCTCATAATGCGAATGAAGCCACAAGCTACCAAAACCTGAAAAAGCAGTCCCGAGAGAGAAACTTACTGCATTTAATGCCCATATCCAAAAAACAGAAAGAGTGCACTTGAATAACCTACTGACCTACCTCAAGGAACTGGAACAGGAAGAGCAATACAATCCCAAACCTAGCAGAAGAAAAGAAATAACCAAAATAAAATCAGAAATAAAGTTGAAAACAAAATAATTATTCAGAATAATTATTCAGAATAATTATTCTGAAATATTATTTAGAATTAAGGACATAAAAAGTTAGTTTTTCAAAAAGATAAATAAAATTGATAAACTGTTGGCCAGATGAATTATAAATAGAAAAGTAAGATCTCTAATATCCTCAATCAGACATGAAAAAGCAGAAATAACAACAGATACTACAGACATACAAGTAATCATCTCTCATTACTCTAAAAACTCTATGCCCCAAAGTTTTACAATGTAGAAAAATGGACCAGTACCTGGAATCACATAACCTTCCTAGACTTAAGCAGGAAGAAACTGATTTCTTGACTAGACCAATATCAAGCACCAAAATTGAAGAAACAACAAAAAAGCTCCCAACAAAAAAAAAGACCAGGACCAGACAGCTTCACCCCAAAATTCTATCAAATATTCAAAGAGGAGCTTGTACCTATGCTGCAGAAACTATTCCAAAACACTGAAAAGAAAGGAAGCCTTCCCAACACATTTTACAAAGCAAACATCACCCTGATACCAAAACCAGGAAAGGACCCAACAAAAAAGGAAAACCGCAGACCAGTTTCCTATTGATACAAAAATGCTCAATAAAATGTTAGCAAATAGAATACAGCTACATATCAAAAAAATTATATATCATCATCAAGTAGGCTTTATTCCAGGAATGTAAGGCTGGTTTAACATATGCAAATCTATAAATGTAATTTGCCACATAAATAGAAGCAAAAACAAAGACCCTATGACCCTCTCAATAGATAGAGAAAGCATTCAATAAAATTTAGCATCCTTTCTGGATAAGAACTCTTAGGAAATTAGGCACAAATGGGTCTTGTCTTAAGCTGATAGAGGCCATATACAAAAAACCCACAGCCAGTACCATACTGAATAGAGTAAAATTGAAAGCATTCCCACTTACAACCGGAACCAGAAAAGGATGTTCATTGTCACCACTACTAGTCCACATAATGCTGGAAGTGGCAGCGCCCATAGCTCAGTGGATAGGGTGCTGGCCACATACACCAAGGCTGGCAGGTTCAAAGCTAGCCAGGGCCAGCTAAAATCAACAGTGACAACTCCAACAAAAAAATAGCCGGGAGTGGTAGTGGGCACCTGTAGTCTCAGCTGCTTGGGAGGCTAAGGCAAGAGAATTGCTTAAGCTTAAGAGTTTGAGGTTGTTGTGAGCTGTGACACCACAGCCCTCTACTGAGGGCAACATAGTGATTGTCTCAAAAAAAAAAAAAAAACACACACGCACACACACATAGTGCTGGAAGTTCTATCTGATGCAAATAGGGAAGAGAAGGATATTAAGGGCATTGAAATGGGGGCACAGGAGATAAAATTCTCGCTCTTTGCTGATGATGTGATCTTATACTTAGAAAACCCCAGAGACTCAACCGCAAGCCTCCTGAAGTAATCAAGAAATACAGTGATGTTGCCGAGTGTAAAATCAGTGTCCACAAATCAGTAGCCTTTGTATACGCCAATAACAATGAAGCAGAGAAGCAAATCAAGGATGCTCCTTCACAGTAGCTGCTAAGAAAATGAAATACCTGGAATATATCTAACAAGGGAAGTGAAGGATATTTACAGAGAGAACTATGAAACCCTGAGGAAAGAAATAGCAGAAGACATTAACATAACATTCTCTTGTCTGGGAAGAATCAACATTTTAAAAATGTCTATACTACCCAAAGCAATCTATAGATTTAACACAATTCCCATTAAAATACTAACAGCATACTTTGAAAAAAACCCAAAAAAAGTTATTTGTTTTTTGCGGGGGGTGGGAGACCGGGAAAAAAACCCATATAGCCAAGACAATCCTTAGCAATAAAAACAAATCTGGAGGTAGCACTCTACCAGACTTCAGGTTATACTACAAGTTCATGGTGATCAAAACAGCATGGTATTGGCACAAAAATAGAGGCTTAGATCTATAGAACAGAATTGAAAACTCAGATGAAACCAGCTTCTTTCTGTCTTCTCATCTTCAATAAACCAAACAAAAGCATACAGTGGGGAAAAGAACCCCTACTCAATAAATGATGCTGGGAGAACTGGTTAACCACATGCAAAAGACTGAAATTGGACCCACATTTCTTACCACTTATAATTTTTTTTTTTT